TTTCTTGAGTGCAGATTGTAGCAAATGAGTAGCACTATGGTGAACCTGCAAGATATCACTCGAACAATAAGATAGAAGGCTTTTAAGGTAGGAAGTAGGTTGCATAAAACCATCATATCATTGCATATTAGCACTGCATTTGGCATACTTCAGTTTTTTTTTTATAAAAAAGGTTCTGCTTGAAGGTAAGTATCTATAGATGCCCATTAGAATTTTAACCAAGCTCATGCAGTGAGCATCTATTTAGGCAGAATAAGAGGTAAACCATGGTTAAGCACCTTAGCCCGCTGCCTCAATTTTGCATCCACTGCAGCTTCCACTTCTCTTCCAACTTCTAGAACTCCTTCTCTAATAGTACCCTTATGAACAAATACTCTACCTAGAGATTTTTGAACATCTTTAATTTCCACAACAGCTGTCTGTTTGCTTTGATCTTGTGTAACATATAGAAATCCATGGTCCCCAATCTGACCACCAGATTCAGCATAAAATGGTGTCTTGTTCAGCAAAACTTCTACTTCACTTCCTTCAGAAACCTGTATCACTGATTTCCCATTTAACAAGAGGCTTTCAACTACTGCTCTTGCAGAAAGTGTGTCATATCCTAGAAATTCAGTGTCATGAACATTTTCAGCAAGATCCCCTCCATCTTCAACTGCAAGTTTAACAACATTGTGTGCAGCCTGAGATTGACGCCTTTGGTTTTCCATCTCAACTTCAAAACCATCCATATCTATCTTGACACCTCGTTCTTCAGCAACTTCCGTGGTTATCTCCACTGGAAACCCAAAAGTGTCATACAGTAGAAATACATCTTTCCCAGATAAGCAAGGTAAGGTTTCACTATTTTGAGCATTTAATAGTGCTTCTGCAAGCATTTGGTCGAGCAGCTTTTCTCCTCTCTCTAATGTCTGCACAAAACGAAGTTCCTCCCTTTGCAACTCATCAAGAATGCTATGTCCTCTAGCCTTTACATCTGGATCAATATGGGAGCTCAATTCTATTACTTTTTCTGCAATGGCTGGTAAAAACGCTTCATCCTCTCCACCCCCCTTTACACCAAGCAATCTGCCAGTACGAACAGCTCTTCTGATAAGCCGACGAACCACATAGCCTCTACCAATATTTGATGGCAGCACTCCATCTGATATAAGATATACAATTGCACGCAAATGATCTCCTATAATCTGAAAAAAATAAAGAACCTCAGGTGCACGTTTGTTAAAAAGAAGACTTTGTTGAAATGAAATACTTGACATGTAGTGGGTAAGGTAAGCATCAATGTACTTTAAGGTTCATTTTTGTTCGATCATCGGCTAGAGCATATGATATATTTGCCAATTCTGCGGCCCTCTCTATAATTGGATAAATCAAGTCAGTCTCATAATTGTTTGGAACCTGCAGCAAAATAAGACTTGAAGAAAGATTAATTATGAAGCAGATACGCAATACAAATGTTGTTATGGATATATGCATCGATGAAATGAAGCTCACTAGTTAAAGAAACCTCCATGGAGATATCAAAATTTCTTTCCTTTCCTTTTTCTTCTTTCTTTTATTATTTTTTTAAATATTCAAAAGAAAGATAGTTAACTTGCTAGTTTATGATGGTGGCAAAACTTATGAGTACCTTTTGAAGGATGCGAGCCAAACGCTCCAGGCCAAGACCTGTATCTATATTCTTTTGTTTTAAGGGTTCAAGTGATCCATCATCCATTTTATTGTATTGCATGAAAACCAGGTTGTAGAACTCTATAAACCTACTATCATCTCCAAGATCCTGCAATTAATCATCCAGAACAAACAAAAAAAGATAAAAGCAGCAGCATGAGAAATTCTATGAGCAGAAACTTTCAAACCCCACCCCCCCTCCTTGAAATAAAAAAGGGAAAGGAAAGGAAAGGAATCATAATACATACTGTATTCTTATATCCCCTTTCAGGATGGAAATCATAATAAAGCTCGGAGCATGGACCACAAGGTCCAGTGGCACCACTGGTCCAAAAATTGTCTTCTTCACCCATTCTCTTTATACGTTCAACAGGAACACCCACCTGATGCAAAGTTTGTTTTAATACATAATAAATTTTTTGCGGAAAACAACTTGTTATAACAGCAAAGGTTGGATAGCTTTGCATAAAACACAGGAGCTAGTTACAGGGGAAGTGAACATACGATGTAATGTGTTGTAATTGAAAAATTCTCATGCAGTTTACCTCATCATGCCATATTTCAAAAGCTTCATCGTCATCTTCATAAACACTAACCCATAACCTGTCAGCTGGCAGTCCAAATCTGCCAGAACAAATGAAATAAATTTAATACGTTTCTCTTTAGTCTTTCAAATTAAGAATGGATGAGCAAAAGTTTTATTATATCCATGCATACTCCTTGGTTGAAAGCTCCCATGCCCATTGGATAGCTTCTTTCTTGAAGTAATCTCCAAAACTGAAGTTTCCAAGCATCTCAAAGAATGTATGATGTCGAGTTGTTCGGCCAACATTCTCCACATCATTTGTACGAATACACTTTTGTGCAGTTGTAGCTCGAGGCACTTGTCTGGGAGCCTAGACAGAAGCACTAGAACCATCATAAGCTCAAAATTTTTAACCCATGGAAGCAAAAAGTTAATTAGACTATGCTAAACTTAACACACATGATACGTAGAAAAATGAATTAAAACAAGTTCAGCGATTGTTTCTTTCATAGTCAGTGTCCAATAACACACTACACCAGGTTCCAAAATCAAAATAGTTTGTCACTAACCTTCCCGAGGAATATAGGCTTGAACTGAAGCATTCCTGCGATAGTCAGAAGAACAGTGGGATCATCTGGCACAAGAGAAGCACTCGGAAGAACCTTATGGCTACGGGAAGCATAAAACTCTAGGAAACGACGACGTATAGCATCCCCACTTACAGGGTTTTCCTTAGTCTTATCCTCCACCAATTCCTCAGTCACCGGCTGTACTGACGCTGAAAAGAAACATGATAAATACTAAATTCTTCAAAAATTGAACCTCATAGTTCACTCTACAAACTCATATATCAAATTTCACACCATTAATTACATCAACCTTGTGTATTCCTTGCACCAAACCGCCTTTCCCTGGCTCCCCCCAAAATGAAATATCCACACGGAAATATACTGGGTGAAAAAAGTGCAACATTTCTTGTAGTAAAACCTGCAAAATTCCCCACACAAATAATATATCCAAAGACCAAATGATGCCACTAAATATAATGACAAGTAGAATATGCATAATCAGGCTCCTTTTGAATTACCAATCAATTAATTTATCAAAACCGTTAAGACCCAATTTGAGATTTCAAGAAAAGCCCAATATCAAACACCATCTTTGCTCAATTATGCAATGCCATAGAATGTTAATCAAGCAAGAAACAGACTATGGCAGTTTTAAATGCTTATGAATAAACTAAAAGTGCAAAGTTCATTCTTTTTAAGTCTAACGAGCTCAAATTTTCGAATCTTATTTAACTAAACCAGAGACTTGAATAACAAAAACATTGAAAAAACAAAGAACTTGGAGAAGTAAGAAGGAGCTTTTACCAGTGGAAATGGAAGAGCTATAATTTGGTTGAATTGTGAAGGCGGGTTTTGAAGATGGAGCAGTGAGAGGTCTCCTCCCGCCATGGATACCGTGTAGAGTTTGTGGTGGCAGTTTCAGGCCACCCATGTCTGTGTCTCTCTGTGAGGAGGTCAAGTGAAGGGAATTTGCCTTTTCTTTTTAGCTTATTTTTTCAAATGGCCGTTTTTATACGTGGGAAGGATAAGCCTTTTTAAGGTCTCCACATTATCGGCACACAATTTTGTTAGATTTTTTTTTCCCGAATTAGGCATTTAAGTAGTCCCTAGAATTTTACAGAAGTAATAAATTAGTCCTTATAATTTATTAAAATGTGCACTTGGTCCTTGAAAGTTATTTTCACTTAAAACAATCATCTCATAAATTTCACGAATATTTTTATTTTTCCTTTATTTTGTAAGAAATTATAAAAAGAAGATAATGAAAAAAATGTGATTTGAAAAGAAGTTACCATGAAAAATACTTACTAAATTAATGATAGTCAACATTGGTCAAGGATTACTCATATAGGGATTAATTAATTAGTTTAGATAAAATATTAATTAACTAGTGAGAATAATTAATAATTAATTCTCTCTCTCTCTTTTCCCTACGGTGGGGTTCAAATAAAAGAAACATAGAGGGTCCTGTACAGATTTGATTTTCAAGATCGTGAAACGCACGGATGGGCAAGAGATTACATGGGCCAGGAGTTATTGGGTACTCCATAAAAACCAAACGGGCCCACTAAGAACCCATTTGAAATCAACAATCACAGTATCTGGAAGTGGGCACAGAAAGATGGGCTCCTACAGTTCGTTTTTTGATGCCAACATTTTGATATTAATCTTGTAGTTTTGAAAATTTGGGTTTGATACAATAAATAGTTTTCTAAATAATATTACAATAATTTTTTGTTTAATTATTGAATTAAGCTTAAATTTTATAAACAATATAATAGAATTTGGTGTTTTTAGCAGTTCATGATTCGGATCATACCTACATTGTGCCTAAAAAAATATATTTTGGTAATGTTATTTATTTTTGTAGTATTTTTTGAACTCTTTTCTTAATAAGGTTTCAAGATTTTGTTTGATTTAAGTTTTATTAATGAGTTCTTTTAACTCTTATTTATATAGTTTTGCATGTTATTTTTCAACATATTGTAAGTTAAGAATATTGATAATCAAGATTTATCGAGTCATTTTTTTAAAATGTCCTGACCAATCGGATGCCGCAAAATGACCTTTCTTGAATTTCAGCAGTTGCTCTTGCTGATTTGAGGTTATTACTAAAACAATGTCACAAGCTGGAAGCCTGTGCCAGAAAAGGGCATCTGATGAATATACAAAACAATGAACAAAACCTCATTTTCCATTTTGAGTAATAAGTGATGTGACCTACCCAACGCAAGCAAAAAAACAGAACCTAATTGGGTATAATACCCTGTTTTTGCTGCCCAGTTACCTTGCAGACAACAGAACTTGTCTAAATAAGATTGAGCATTACAAGATTAAATAAATAATTGCGGTTTTTGTACATGAATTTGACGGGTAGAAATGGATAATCATAAGCAGACTAGAAACCTGATGAATTATTTTTATCTTGATGGCTACAGGCCAATTTCCATATCTTCCAGACTTTCATGTTATTGGCCTTTTGTGATCTGTATGTTTATGGTCTTCATAGTAACCAGACCCTGCCAGAGGACATAATATTTTGGTAGATTATCTGCTTGAATAATCTGATATCCTTCAGGGATATTCCAACATAAGTACATTCTTCTACATTGAATTCCCAGAAAAGGAATCCTATGCAGGAAGGATTGTCTCAAGTAAATCCTGTGCATATATAAGTTATCTAGTTGTTAGTCAAGAGTAAGACAGCATGATTAGTCTGAAACAGCTCATCAGAATTGCTAGCAAGTGACAGAAGATAGGTGTAGTTAGGATTAAAAGAATTTCTTGTTAAGAATCACTAGTAGGATGGATCTTGAGAATGGCAACTCATCATTTGTTGCTAAAAAAGGGCATTTTGTTGTCTACACTGTAGATTGGAAGCGTTTTACTATACCATTAGAGTATCTTAGCAATGAAATCTTTCGCGAGCTCTTCAAGATGTCTGAAGAGGAGTTTGGAGTATCAAGTGACATGCCTATAAGGTTTCCATGTGAGTCAGCATACATGGACTACATTTTAGCACTCATCCGACGAGGCATAGCCAAAGATTTTGAGAAAGTTGTGATCAATTCCATTACCACTGGGCAGTACTGCTCAATATCTGCTTCTTCAGATGATGGACATGCTTGTGCGACATGCTTATCTTGGAAACTTTGTCTAAACTCTGAGTTTCAAAGACAAAAACAAACAAGAAAGGTAAAAGGAAAAGGTCAGGCATAGGAGAGTAAGAGTTCCTTGTGGAAAATGTACAATCAGTTGTAAATTTCCGGATTAAGGTATATAATCATTCTTCAGAAAGCACAAGTCTCATCCAAGTAGGAACTTGTGGCTACTACTTGTTAGACAATTAATGGACATGTTGGGCCAATAGTCCTAGTCTTCCAAAGCATAGAATTGCTGCTCTCACAAAACCATCAGGAACAGATTCACTTGCGCATGTAGGCTTATTCATATATCTGCCTTCTTGTGGATCACAAATTAAGTTTTGATTCGGCTAGATCAAGCGACACCAATTTTGGACCTTTTTTACTGTAAAACCGCTTGACTGAAAACATGCATGTCTGCATCCTTCCATCTCCCTACATAAGCAAACATGTCCACCTCCCAAACAACCCCACAAAACCAACCTCTCACATGGTTTTGCTTTGCGTGTATCGAAGTGGGTTGGAAGTGTCGGTTATGGAATTGTCTCTGGCCTTGTGTATATATAATCAACCCACTTCCGTTGCTCTCTATCCAAAGCAAGATTAAGATTTCAATATTACAAGATCTAAACATCTCCTTTCTTAGTTTCATCAGCCTCAAGATGATCAGTGCTAAGAAGCTCATCAAATTGGCAAGAGAATGGCAGAAAGTGGCTGCCACTAGTAGAAAAAGGCTCACGTTTCCGCAAACAATTAGCAGTCTTGATTCAGATGACTGCAGCACATCATCAGCAGCAGAGAAGGGTCACTTTGTGGTGTACACCACTGACGAAAAACGTTTTGTGCTTCCCTTGGATTACCTAAACAATGAAATTGTTAAAGAGCTATTCAATCTAGCAGAAGAAGAGTTTGGATTGACAAGCAATGGACCTCTCACCATGCCATGTGATGCTGCCTTCATGGAATATGCAATCACCATGATCAAGAAGAATGTGGCTAAAGATGTTGAGAAAGCATTGCTGATTACCTTAGCTAGCAATCGATGCTCATCATCTTTGAATTTTCATCAAGATGTAACAAATCAACAGTTGTCAATTCTTAGCTTTTGAAATACTTCACAAAGTTAATATACACATTAATAAGTTAATTAAATTCCAGAATTTTTGCTTATGTTTATATGTTCTTCCATAGTTAATATTCAAGAATTTAAATCCAAAACATATTGCTTCCTGTAAAAGCAACTACATCACTGACAGGTGATCCCTCTACGCAGACCTAATTTTGTTTCAAAGATTTTCTTTTTCTTTTTTGTAAAGAAAGTAATACAGTTATTGGAATTCTACATCATAAATTTCAACAAGTTCTTCTACCCAAAATTTTATCTTAAAGGTTAATAAGAGATGGCATTTGTGAATCGATACTTAATGGTTACACAGAAAAGGCATTCTTAAATCTTAACCGCAGCATTTTAAAATGCAGAAGATTTTCAAAAAATTTATGGACTGTGACTGTAAGGAAGTTTTGTATATTTAACTTTGGTTTGATGATGAATATAATTTGTGAAGTGATGATGGTTTTTTGTTGCTGGATTATTTTGACTACCAGTAGCTGGATCATCAAACAGAAAACATGGTGCGCAGCGAGAAGACAGGAGCCAGCCAATCCTGTCTGACTGATAAATGCAACGAGAAAAAAAATAGATAAATAGGAATGAGAAAAGGTAAATACATGATTATCATGATTATATTTAATTATCAGTACAAATGACACCCCATTTGATGCATCCCATGTTCTATACAGAAATCTGCAGTCCTTTCAAGTACTCAACTGGCACATAATATCTGTAGTCAAGGTACAGTATGAATGATTTTATGCCTTTGGGACAAATTCTCTTCATCTCTTACCTGAAAGTCTGGTGACCAGTCGATCACTTTTGTCACTTAGACTTTGCTTTTTAGTTATAGGAGACAAAGTAATGTGAGATTCTCAACAGTACACGGACAAGGCAGTCTGATAAATGGATTAGTGTCTGTAAACTCCTTAAAGTAGGCTTGGTTGAACCACATGTTTCCTGTTTGGTAGTTCCTCCTGAATGGGTCCAACTTGCCTGTGTGTTGAACGTGCTTCGGATTAATTTTTGTGGATCACAAAGTTTGATGGAAGCTAGGATCATGAGACATCAAATCTGGTCCTATTTTACTGTAAAACCACTTGGCCATAAACATAGATATATGCATACCTTCCATGCTCAAACTTGATGTGCTGTTATTCAAGGGGAATAGGGAAACATGTTCACCTCCCCAGCAACCCCACATAAACCCACCCGTCACGTGGTTTTGCTTTGCTTGACTGCCTGGACTGTTGAAAGTATTTATGATGGAATTGTCTCTGGCCTTGTGTATATATAATCAACCCACTTCCGTTGCTCTCTATCCAAAGCAAGATTAAGATTTCAATATTACAAGATCTAAACATCTCCTTTCTTAGTTTCATCAGCCTCAAGATGATCAGTGCTAAGAAGCTCATCAAATTGGCAAGAGAATGGCAGAAAGTGGCTGCCACTAGTAGAAAAAGGCTCACGTTTCCGCAAACAATTAGCAGTCTTGATTCAGATGACTGCAGCACATCATCAGTAGCAGAGAAGGGTCACTTTGTGGTGTACACCACTGACGAAAAACGTTTTGTGCTTCCCTTGGATTACCTAAACAATGAAATTGTTAAAGAGCTATTCAATCTAGCAGAAGAAGAGTTTGGATTGACAAGCAATGGACCTCTCACCATGCCATGTGATGCTGCCTTCATGGAATATGCAATCACCATGATCAAGAAGAATGTGGCTAAAGATGTTGAGAAAGCATTGCTGATTACCTTACCTAGCGATCGATGCTCATCAACTTTGTATCCTCATCAAGAAGTCAGAAATCAACAATTATCAATTTGTAGCTTCTGAAATACCATACAAAGTTAATATACACATTGATACATTAATGAAATACAAGAATCCCTTTCATGTTTGGTTGTTCTTTCATCAAAAAAAATTCTAGAAACATCCCTTTGATAACATAGCCCCCTGATCAATCTTTGTTTAAAGTGAAATCTAAAAGTGTCCTGGTTAAGTACCTCGACAACAATTAGAATGAAACAAGAAGAAAATATAGCATTTAAAGTCTGAATAATGGAAAAATTCAAGTTTCTGAAATTGAAACTTCAATCTACAGAGACAACAAAGCTCTTTCTAGCCCTTCCCATTCATTAAACCAGTTGCTTCTTTTTAAATCCAAAATTTGTTACTTCCTGTTGAAGAAACTACCTCAAGACTAGTGGTGTCTATAAGGGGACTGAATTTCTTTTTGTAATAATTTTCTTAAAATCTGTTTTTGATGAATGTGTTAGTGTTCTTAGCATTCTGCATCATAAATCCCAAAAGAATCTTTCCCCTGAATTTTTTTCTTGCAGGTGCAGAAGAGTTGGCCCAGTGAATAACTATAGCTTTTTAAGATTTTGAAGTATATTATGGACTGTGAGGAGATTTTGTAGATTTGAATCTCCGTTTGGCGATGACTAGAATTTGTTAGGTGATCATGGTCTTCTTTCTTTTTCATTCATCACCAAACAGAATTTGCTCATCAAGATGGTTCATTGAATTTTCATCAAGATGTTAGAAATCAGCCATTGTCAATTTGACTTCTGGTTTGCTAATGACTAGAAAATGTGAAGTGAAGATAGTCTTTTTGTTTGCTGGATGATTTTGACTACCAGTAGCAGAATCAACAACAGAAAACATGGTGCACAGTTAGAAGATAGGTGCCAGCATATCCTGTCTCACTGATAAAATGCAATAGAAAAAATAAGATAAAATGAACAGGCAAGAAAGGAGCTAGTGAATATATGAGAAAATTTAATGATCACCACAAATTAATGACACCCTGTGTGATGCAACCCATGTTCTATTTCATACAGAAATCTGCAATCCTGTCTAATAATCTAACGACACATAATATTATTAGCCAATGCACAGTATGAATGATTTTTTGTCGTTGAGACAGGTTGCCTTCTTCATCTCTCACCTGAAAATCTGACCGTCAATGAAGAGCATCATGAGACCAAAAAATTGGACCTATTTCAATGTTAAACCACTTGATCGAAAACGTACATATATGCATACCTTCCGTGCTCCACATAGGCAAACAAGTCCGCCTCCCATAACAACCCCACATAGCCCACTTCTCACATGGTTTTGCCTTACATGTCTGCCTGATTTGTTGAAGTGTCCATTATGGAATTTTTTCTGGTCTTCTGTATATATAATGCGTTCACTTCCATTTCCTTGTATCCATCAAAATATTAACATTTCCATATTCTAAGATCTAAACATCCCATTCCTTAGTATAATCAGTTTCAAGATGATCAGTGCTAAGAAGCTCATCAAATTGGCAAGAAAACGGCAGAAACTGGCTGCCATTAGGAGAAAAAGGATTGAATTTCCAGGAACTGTTAGTGGTAAAGATTCAGAAGATTGCAGCACATCATCAACAGCAGAGAAGGGCCACTTTGTTGTGTACACTACTGATAATAAACGCTTTGTGCTTCCCTTGGATTTCCTTAACAATGATATTGTTAGAGAGCTATTCAATCTAGCAGAAGAAGAGTACGGATTAACAGGCAATGAACCTCTCACATTACCATGTGATTCTGTCATCATGGAATACACAATCACCTTGATCCAGCAGAATGTGGCTAAAGATGTAGAGAAAGCAGTGCTGATGACCATAGCCAGCAGTCAATGCTCATCATCTTTGTATCTTCGTCATGAAGTTAAAAATCAACAATTGTCAGTTTGTAGCTTCTGAAATACATTTTAATGTTAGTATACACTTCAATACATTAATGAAATTCAAGATCTTTTGTCATGTTTGGTTGTTTTTCCATGGAAAATGGTACTCTTCATCTCTCAAAAGCGTTAAAAGTCTCCCGTAAATTAATCTGGAATACCTCGTTTTGACAGGCCCCAGATACATCTTAGTTAAAATGAAATACATCTTAGTTGAGAGTAATTACTCGATGTAGTCTACAAAGTTGAACTGTTATTTCACTTAATTACTTGAAAAATATTCACTTGGAATAAAGTAAAATGCTATTTCTGGCACTTGGCCTTTCCTTCTATTTTTCTTTATTCATGACAAGTGCAAGAATCAAACAACTAAGAATCTTTTTCAATACTATATGAGTGAGTGACGAACTCGAGATCATTACGTCCCATCCCAAAGCTTTAGATGTTAGATGAGACTCAAAAAAATGATTTATATTATTCTTTAATATTTTTTGTCCAAGAAATTACTGTTGACTGAAAATCTCAATCTGGGCACTCATAATTCTGTTCTTTACATTTTCCTTCTTTTTTTCTTTTTCCCCTGTAGAATGACATTTTTACATATCGATCATAACAAAATCTTCATGGTCACATGGAAAAAGTAACAATAAATCCAAGCTTCTAACCTGCACATAATTCTGGGCTAAATTAGTGGATTGTAAAGAATTGTTGTGGAATAGAGATTCGGCCCGGTTTGTGTCGAAAAATAATACTGAGATAGAATTCCGAATTCGGCCCGGTTTGTGTCAGGAAAACTTTGAAATAGAATTCCGAAGTGGTGTGGTATTGCTGCTGATGACAGAATATTCTGCTGTTAACAGGATGGTGCTAACTGCTATGCAGTAATTCAACCAAAGGATTTTGTTTATTCTGTTTTTGTTTGATGGATTATTTCCACTGCACGGTATTAATCAAGAAACATCAAAACATGATAAGGTAAGAAAAAAGTTAAGCTCCTTTTTTGTGAATAAATATGGTCAAGCCTTTATTCATCATGCAAGAAGAGGAAATGAAGACAAAATGGGCCAAAAATGGAGCAAGTGAATGATTAAATGTGTAAATTCAATGAGCTGCACATGCTGGACCCTACAGTATGCAGTCTAATTTCAATGCAATTCAACTTTAGTCTCTGCTTTTCAATTGTTGGAGACAAAGGCAATGTGAAATTGAATGGGAGATTGAAAACATACACAACGGCAATGTGAAATTGAATGGGAGATTGAAAACATACACAACCTCCTGAACATGGAACCTGATAAACGGACTTCTAAGGGTGACAGCCTATTAAGGCAGGCTTGTTTCAACCACAAAGCGGGGGACCAGCATGCTTATGTCTTGCGAAGCATATGCCTAAATCTTCCAAATCAATGTTCTCACCAAATTGCCAAATCACTGTAAGAAGATTCATTTCAGCAATTTGATCAATTTGTTCTCTGTGGTTCTCAAGCACTAGAGCATTTATGATCAACCAGCTTGCATACCCGCTATGCCATTGAACTGCTTCACACATATTGCATTGATTGCTTACCTAGACCAAGCATGTTCTAAGCATGATCCTTCACAGAAGCTGGGCCACTTGCAAGTAAAGTGTCTGCCTTTCCTAGAGAATATACAACTAGCCAACATCATCGCTCTCTCCTCAGCTCAAAATTTCAATTTCAGTGTTTCAATAACTGAATTGATAACCTCCTCCTTCTCCAACTTCACCAGTCTCAAGATACCATCACAATGATCAATCTCATGAGACTCGTTCAGTTCGCAAAAAAGTGGAAAAAACTAGCTGCCCCGGAGAGGAAAAGAATTTCAATACCAAGAAGCGGTGAAGATGAAAACACAAACAACAATGACAGGTTACCAGTGGCAAATAAAGGCCATTTTGTGGTCTACACCGTCGATCAAAGGCGCTTCGAGTTCCCCATTTCGTATCTTGACAATAACATCTTTAGAGAACTCCTGGCAATGTCTGAGGAAGAGTTTGGCTTGCCAAGAAATGGTCCTATAACGTTGCTATGTGATGCTATGTTCATGAAATATGCAGCCTCCTTGATGCAACGAAATGTTGATAAAGATATGGAGAAAGCATTGCATATAGACATAACTAGTAGTGGTAGATGCTCATTGTCTTTTCATTCGCTACTCCAAGAACAAAGTAGCCAGCAATTACTGGTTTGCTGAATTTTGTACATGACCAGAGACATAGTTGTAGTTAATATTATTAATATACTACTTCATCAGAGTTCCCACCAAGTTTCTCCATGCTTGGTTACCTAGTTTCAATTTTTTTGAAGATTTTCCATCCAAATCCAATATATTCCATGTGAATGCTGAAGGAAGTGCTAAAACCTTCCATTTTGAAGAGCAGGGGCTTCCTGAATCATTCAAACGACATGTCGATTCTGGCCACTCAGAATGGTTAAAAAGAAATAGCGAAGGCAAAAGGCCTAAGGATATCAATACGTAGGCCGATCGATGGATGTCTATTCACGTTCATGTATTTAGAACACCATAGCAAATGCAATCAATGAACCCGACCCGGTAACCCAGGTTCCCAAATCTTTTTTCCCCTTGTATTAACTTGGAATAAAGCGAGAGAGATAGAAAGTTAGGGTTTCTCATACTTCTAACAATCATAATTAAATTATAGAGAAATTCTCTTATTTGATTATTTTTTCTTAATTGTTCTAAAATAACACACACAAAACTTGTTTACGTAGTAGATTAAACTTACATAATTAATAAAACTTAAATCAAATAAAAATATGAAACCTAATTAAAAATAAAAAATATATATATGAAAAATAAAAAAAATCTGAACAATAACTTCTTCAATTAATTTAAGTATGGAAGCAACCTTCTTAGTTGGTTACTGCATCCATTGTAAAACTAAGTCTGTGAAATATATTAGTTAAATTTTAGTCTGATTGAATAATTTAATAAAAAGTTTATATTTTTTTATCAAAAAAAAACCTTATTTAATTCATTAGACTTCTGATTATATTTGGACTTGTTTATATTTGTTTATATTAGGAGTGAGTAAAAAAATAAAAAATTAATTAAACCGAGAAAACTAGAAAAAAATAATTGAAAAGACTGAATCATGAAAAAACCAATTAAACTGATTAGAATTTTTAAACAACTGGTTCGATTCAATTTTATAAGCTTAAAACTGAAAAAAACCAAACCAAGTCCAAACCAAAAAAATCAAGTTAAATTGAAAAATCAAACCAGAACCAATCAGTTTAAACAAGTTTTTATTCTAAAATAATCTAAACAAAATTGTTCGGTTTAAACTGATTTCAATTTGATTTTATTTTTTTATAAAAAAATTAGTTTGGTTATTTTTTTTATAAAAACTAAATCAAACTGAAAATAATCACCCAAATTAATGCTTGAATGATTGAACATGATAATTTGTTATCATTATATATTTCATGTAAGAGATACAATTTATACCATTTTTGTTAAATAAGCCACTTTCCAAAGCGTTTTTTTTAACAATTTCTTTAGATTAATGGATATTTGAAAGTATAGTAACGATTATTTTTTAATATATTTTTTGTTTGGAAATATATCAAAATAATTTTTTTTTATTTTAAAAAAATAATTTTAACATCAACATATTAAATTAATATGAAAACAATAAAAAAATTAATTTAAAATAAAAATAAAAAATATTTTTAAAATTACAAAAACAAATAAAATATTAAGCTCGAAATAATAGCAATATGAACACCACACATCTACATTATGAACAACAATTCAAAGATAAGTTTTATTCTAATGGATAGGTAAATTAACCTATAATAATAGATCAGATGGGACGCCGAACCATGTGCTCTTGTGAAAGCACAATTTAAATGAGAACATCTTTAGTTCTGTTGAAACCAACATAGCATATTCACCAAACTGGTACCAATCAGTTGTAATGTTTAGATTCCGTTCTCCTAATTGATGGAAACATAAGGCTGTGACATAGGATGTTAGATTCAAAACCTCAAAACACAATTTTGAACCACATATTTTACTTGTTTGGCAGTTCACCTTCGACATGTTGAGACCAACATGCTGTAACTATGTCTTCCACGCACCAAAATCTGCCAAATCATTAATTTGCTCGCCCAAGTTGCCAAACTTCTTCATTCTTATGGATATATATCCTTAACATGGATATATAGATTTTAAGGCATAAGAGATATATTCTAGCAATTTGGTCTGTTCTTCTTGTTTCTTGTGGCTCTCATGGATTCATGCCTTTATGATCGATCCACCCGCTTGGGACCCCTTATGCCTTCAATCTACTTGGCACAAAACTTGGTTTGTTATCCATTTGAATCAAGCATGTCCACGCCACTCAATCTCCCATCTCTTCCATGCTGCACATGGTCATGAGCCCATCAGTTCGCTACACGAGAAAACATACAAGTAAAGCAATGTCTCTGTGGGGTGGGTCTATATAACGAGTGCATTGCCATTTCCTTCTCAACTCAAAAATCCCATTTCAATAATCACCAAGAATTGCTGAATCTCCTCTTCTCCTCTCTAAATCTCACTAACTCAAAGCAAAATGATCACCCCCGTGAAACTTATCAAGATGGCAAGGAGGTGGGAAAGTCTAGCTGCCCTAAAGAGGAAAAGAATTTCATTACAAAGAAACCATGGTAGTGCGAGTACTAGCGGTAGCAACATGTCAACAGTGGCGGATAAGGGCCATTTTGTTGTCTACACTGCTGATCAAAGACGTTTCATGTTTCCTATTTCATACCTTAACAACAACATTGTTAGAAAACTCTTGGTAATGTCTGAGGAAGAATTTGGCCTGCCGGGCGACGGACCGATCACATTACCATGTGATGCAGTCTTCATGGAATATGTATGTTCTTTGATCCAAGGAAGAGTCGAAAAAGAAATGGAAAAGGCTATGCTTATGTCAGTAACTAGTAGCAGATCATGTTCATTATCTTCCTGTCCCAGTCAAGGGCAAGCTAGCCAGCAGTCTTTAGTATGTAGTTTCTGATCGAGAGTATCACACAAATTTTATAATAGTGAATAGACTTTCAAAAACGCCAACCAAACTTTCTTTTTGCTTGATTATTAATTAATTATTTTTCTCGAATAAAATGAAAGCATCAAGGAATAGCATGAAATCACTAGAAGTTAGTTAGATTCTAATCAAATAAAGCTTCTTTAGATTCATTCAAAGGGAACCCTTGAGACATCAATTTTTCTATTGCATTCAAGTTCCATTGTGCGTTACCACAAAAATATATATACCGAAAGCTCTGTTTATCTAGCTAGTGCCAAAATTAATGATGTTAAGAGCATAATTAGTACTCCATTAATATTCCATTTTCTTGTATATACTTGAGTATTATGAGGCCAGAGACTAAGGGTCAAATCCTCCTTGCAATTGCGGTTTGTTTGAAGATTGTTACACCATGGCTAATTAATGCCAGAAATTGCCTTTCTAGTTTCTAGACTTTTTTCTTTTTGGTCTTCGAGCTAGATCGATGGTATCTTTGAACTATATGCAGCACCAATAAGAGACAGATCATTTACACCAAAATTGAGAAATTCGTGAGAAATTCATGTTCTTGTGGCATAACCAACCGGCAAGAGCTAATCATTAGAAGCAACGTGCAGCTGCAAACCAGCCTTTAGCATTTCCTTCAAAGTACATATATTATTGCATCTCTTGCGTGAAATCTAATCATAATCTCATGATTACTAAATTTTATTTTCCTGGGTAACTTGTAGTGTTATATATAATCATATGCTTACTTTCATTGTGAGGCCGGAGAATTAGGGTCAAATCCCGGTGCAAGTTGCAGTTCAATTTGAAGGTGTCGTCGGTATCGTTAGCTGATGTCATAAATTCCTGCGTTGCCAAGTCTCTTTCTAAGATACAGTACTCGTACAAGAAAATATAGGTCTTCATCATTCACTAAATAATAGCTAGCTATACCCACTTGTAAAACAATCAATCTTAATTATTCAAATTAGTATATTCGGTCCAAGCTAGCCGCCTGCCGGCAACATAGAATTTTTTTTTCGTGTAAAATTCTATCATGGATCATAAGAACATCTATATATTATTTTTTTCCCCGCCGAATCACAGACCTTATTATATTTGACAACGAACTGATTATTAAATTAAAGATTCTAACAAACTGGAATGTGTTGATCATTCTATATGATTTTAGTAAATTTCTTGATTACGTGATTGCAATTTTCATCCTAAGAACCAAGATAAAATAATAGTTCAGATTAGCCCTCCTTCATACACAATCTCAAACTGACTCACATCTTCCCATCAACTGTCAAAAGACAACAATTATTTTTCCCAGTTTAGACGTTGCAATTTCTCTCTCTGTAAATGAGATGATATACTTAAGGGAAAGAAAACTCAAACATTTCGGTGGACTTTGCATATTTAATTATTAAAATTGTTGACATCACATAGAATCTGAATTATATGTTCTGATCATCTAATATGATATATATGTTACCTCAGGTTTTAAAAAAGATTTTGCGGCAACTTTATGTGAATGATTTACATGAAGATTAGAAGTGGAAAATGTTCCCCAGAATCTCTGTTCATTTTCCCTTTACAACTAATTCACGTACAGTATGAAAGGGATTTTACTGCTCCCAAAGAAGTCAGGCAAGAGCTACATGTTGTTGACCATGCTGTTATAAGTGCCATGGGAACAATCCAGGTTTCTTCATATCTATTTTCAGCAGCAGACTTGCTTGAAATTCAACAATTAATACTTTTCTCCCCGATTTACTTTTCTCTAGTTTGACATATTTTTTTGCAGGAACACTTTAAATAGTTTTTAATATTGTTGTTGATCCACTTTACTTTAATAATCTGATTTCTATAAAATACAAAATATACATATAAATCAGCAATTTTATCTTTAGCTAGGGCCATCATGCTTTAGTAAAGTAACCTGTAATTAGGAGGGTGCAAGGGACAAACAAACATTGATAATTCCTTTACCAATTGGACTTGCGTCAAAGGAAAATGATGGGTAAAGCACGGCGCACATTCGCCCACTTGACCAATATTTTGGTGTTATGATGATTAATTTTTTTAATCAGCCTTCATACCTAAGGGCAATTGGGAAGGGATTTGCAACTTTTTTGGGCATCAAGAATCTTTGATTTTAACCCAAAAATCTTTGATTTTAATCTTATATAATTAATTAACTCGTGCTTTGCGAAAACAATTAATAAAATTAAGGCATGCACCGTGTGGTATGTGCTGTCTACACGTGCTTTCCCCCTAATTACCCTACACGTGCTTTCCACCTAATTACCCTTGTAAACTTACCTTTTTAGTGTGAGATTAATCAATCAAACTCACCGTCGGCGTCATATGTAAATGTAGGTAGGTCATGCATTTGCATCAAAGGCAATTCCAATTAAGCAAATTGATTTATTTTTAACGATATACTTAATAATGGATTCAAGAAAGGCTTGCTTTAGCTCATGGTAGCTAGGACTGATTCCAAATTACAAGTCAAAGCCAGATAAAATAAGATGAGGGCATTTTTTAGTTAATGCATGTTATGTGCATCCTGTAATGTGCTGACAAAAATAATCTTTGCAGCCAACGTAGCAGGACCGGCAGTAGAGAGGCACTACTTTGACAAGAATAGCTGGTCTTGTTCTGTATGGCTGGCTGCTACAGATCTTTATTATTTTTTTCTGGTCTTCGAACCCTTTTGGAATGGTATTGTAGCCCTTAATTTCTTTAGACTAGAGATTTTACAAATGATCCAAAAGTATTGTTTCCTATTTACACGCACTTTAAGACCTTATGGGGTATGGAAAATTTTTAATGCATAAAATAGGAAATCATGGTCCCTATATATATAGTTTACTTCACTGATTAATTTGTGGGCAAAGGGAGGACCAAGAGAACACCATAGGAAAAGAAAAAAATGGGTGAGGTTGTCGATGCGAACTCTACCCCCGTGACACCAAGGCTGAATGCAAACTCTACCCCCGTGACACCGAGGCTGAATACAAACTCTACTCCTGTAACACCAAGGCCAGCCTCAGTGTCACCAACGCCACCGATATCGGCTCCTCCGTCGCAATTTCATTCGCCGTCGTTGTCTAGATCACCTTTGCTCACACCTGATCATATTGTTCCAAGCAAAACCCCAAGGAACTCAACCCCTAGAAATGCAACCCCAAGACTTAGAACTCCTCGCTTTATGACCCCTTTAGGCAGTCCTCTTAGAAGGGCTCTCCAACTCACAAAACTTGACCCTCAAGATGCTTGGCTTCCAATTACTGAGTCCCGAAATGGAAACGCATGGTATGCAGCATTTCATTGCCTTTGCTCTGGCATCGGTTTTCAAGCACTCGTGCTCCCTGTTTCCTTCACTGTCCTTGGTTGGTAAGTAAAAACAACATACATGATTGATCTTTGGTGTGGCAAGTTATACTTATCGGACCAATTCGTAGTCTAGCAGAGCTTTACTTTGTTTTTGTCTTACAGGGCATGGGGCATCATAGCCTTGACAGTTGCATTCGCATGGCAGCTTTACACTTTTTATTTACTTGTGCAACTACATGAAAACACCGAGACTGGCATTCGTTACAGCAGATATCTTCAAATTATGAGTGCAAATTTCGGTACGTGTTCGATGTTTTTCTTTAACTTCCAACCTATAGTATTTTAGTGAGGTATACAGCTGAAATCTTTGGAGAAATGATTTCTGAAAGAATATTCAATGAAATTAGCATTACTCTTCCTTAAAGGTCCATGTCACACTGCGTGAAAGAAATTAACCCTGGTTTTTCTACACAAGTAGAAATTATGCTTATTTGGTAACTATGTGTTCTAAACTATGGCTTCTTCAACAATTCAGGTGAGAAGAAAGCAAAGTGGCTAGGCCTATTTCCAATCTTGTACCTATCAATAGGTACATGTGTGGCTCTAAACATAATCGGAGGATCAACATCAAAATTATTTTTCCAGACTGTATGCGGTCAATCATGCACAGTCAAAACATTAACACCAGTAGAATGGTACTTGGTGTTTGCTAGCGCTGCAGTTCTTCTGTCTCAGCTGCCAAACTTGAACTCAATTGCTGGTGTATCACTTATTGGATCCGTCACTGCTGTCGTGTATTGCACAATTATGTGGATGGTTTCTGTTAACAAGGATAGGTTGCCTGGCATAACTTACAAGCCAGTTCGTGGACCAAAGGAGGTTGACAGGCTCTTTGAAGTTCTTAATTCACTTGGGATCATTGCTTTTGCATTTAGAGGTCACAATCTCGTACTTGAGATCCAGGTACCATAAATTTCAAGCTACTTCTCAGGATTTCCCCCACTTTTTTTTTCACTTTGATGTTACATATTAGCCATCAGAGCAAGAAAAAATGTTTTAAAAATATTTCTCTTACAATTGGCATAGATAGGAAGCAATTCAAGCATAAGCAAAGACTTGGCTATGTCATCCATTTGATCCAATGGCTGATTATTCATGGACATGTAGGTGATATTGTCCAAGATTTTTCAGGTTCACAAGATCTTACTGCATCTTCACGTGTGCTGTGAGAGCGTATTTTAGAAGAGAAAAATCATTTTCTTTGGCCGATTTTTCTTGATTTGTCTCTTAACTTGAAACTTCTTTTCGTTGGTTTTATCGTCTGACAAAAGGATATTTTCTGTTAGAGCGACTTGGAAATTTAGCAAATTGGCCTACACACGTTACATATGAAACCCCTTTATTGAAACAGTCTTGCTTCAGTTTATCAGTTTTTTTCCGAGTCTACGCAAAGAACATAGAAAGTACCTCGCAGCAATTAGTTGACCATTGACATTTGACCGTGTTAAATTAAATTAAATATGACATTATTTGATTTGCAATTGTTGCGATACTAGTTAGTTACAAGAGCAAAGTGTTTTACCTAGATCAACTTACCCGAGCCATCAAATCAACTCTGTAACTATGAAATGTGACAGACAATGTACAAATTATTATATCATTCCCTTCGTTTTATTAGAATTAAAAGAATAACCCAATATTTCTAAAGTGATTTGGGTGCGTTCTGATGTGTTTTTTTATTTATTTTTTCAGGCTACTATGCCCTCGAGTGAGAAGCATCCCTCCCGTGTGCCGATGTGGAAGGGTGCCAAGGCTGCTTATGCAGTTATTGCAGCATGTTTATTCCCCCTTGCAATTGGAGGCTTTTGGGCTTACGGCCAAAGGGTACTGCTATAATTAATCTTCACCATTTCCATCTCTCCAAACTAATTTTCTGT